TAAATCTGCGCCCCGGTTCTATGAGAATGCGTCGACAAAATTAATTTATTTTTGTTTTGATTTTCAAAACGATCAACAGTGTGACCTGAGACTAACATAACTGACTGTATCTTATTTAAATTGTCAAAAAACTTTTGATTCCGCAGTCATCGTAATCTACCAATTTTCTAGCAGCTAGACTTTGCAAATGAGGTTTTGGGATACCCATATTCACAATAATTTCAAAATATTTGTTATCCGTAAACCATTTTAGAGACTCTCCTCTGAAACAAGTGCAGAAATGATTCTAACCACCATCAGAACACGCTTTTTAAGTTCGATCCACTCATTTTCATTAAGTTTCTGTCAATGTTTGAAACAAATTTTTGATTCACATGTCACTGAATAACCGTCAACCTGAATCTCTAGCATCTGAAGATACCAAATACCTTTTTCTTGGAGACTCTGATACGACCTTGCCGTTCAGTTTTGTCAAATTTTGAAACCAAAACTGTTGTGTTTCTGCATTTTTAGACAGTTAAATATACATGTAGCAGTCCCAACTTTGAGTTTCTTTGATATCTATAGATAAACATTTTGTCATCAACCTGTCAACATTGCCGATAGCTGTTATCATTTATATAATCTTAACAAAGTACTATTGCTATTTTCTGAAAACCATTATAGCATTTTGATATATTCAAAGTCATTTAATATCAAAGACAAAATACATATTATTACGGTTGTGTACTGAACATTTTAACAATCCAGTGCATAATTTCCACTATGCTCTGTGCAAACGGCAAGTCAATTTTTACCAATGCCATCCTTCATATAGTATCCTTAAACGTATAATATATAATTGGAAGGAGAATTACACTATCAATCTTTCATTATTTCATTTGATTTACTGTCTCAATTCAGCCTTGTACTTAACATTCATATTTCGCTTCCTCCTTTAACTAATAGTAAATATTTCTCTCAATAAAAATATATGAGTACTATATTATCATGTTTTGACTGTTTCGTGTAGTATGAATATTACCACACTCACCTTTATCAAGGTACCACTCTCAGGGGTCATTTATTCTAACTTGCCATTATATTGAGAGCAAAACTGTTACTTTTGTGCTTACTACAATACCCTCGATTATTGATACTTAATCTTTTCTAATCATGGGTACTACAATACCCATCTATGTGACACTACGATTGCTTTCTCATAGGTAATCCCCCTTTATTATGGGTACTCCAATTCCCCCTTATCATGTACAGCTGTATATTACAATCCCATCATTAGATCGTTCACGCTTTACCGTTTCCTATTATTGGTACTACGTTTTACATCCTTTAAGACAATTTTTACATTTTACATCAAGCATATATATTCTTCTTAAAATTACTTGATAGGTTTTTCCTTTTCAAAATCTTAACATATATACATGTTAAACTTAGTTATTTACATTTATCATTTTCTACTATTTAAAGCCAAAAACTAGCATGTTCTTCAAGACTATCCCCAACAGTTAACAAATTCCTTTTCAGGTAAATTAGTACTTATCTTTTTAGTCTTTGGTGTGCCCCTAATTGTGCAGTTTTGGTTCTTGTAATACCCACTTAGCAGATTGTCTTTCTATAATTCCGCAGCCGTAATTAAATCCCCTCTTTTTGTTGAACCATCGATGAGCTTCTTTGTCTGCTTCATTTTCCCCATCATTGTTTGTGCGGTCATCTTGCCTGAAACCTTTTTCTAAACTATGCATGCCTCATACAAATGGCCGTTTGTTCTGCAAATGCATGGTCCGCTTTCTCGTCAATTCCTTTGTCTATGTACTGTTGTTTGTGCCCATTTTTCTTCCAAATTATGTTGTTTTTTCTTTGAATTGATAGAAAGTTTTTCTGTTTAGAGTGATTATTCTTAGCTTCATTTTATTTTCCGTTTGTTGGGATTTGTTTCCGAGAATTCCTTCAGTAGGCTTGTGCCTGCATGGCCGTATTATTTTCAAGGTGACGATTCTGAGTTGGTAGTAACTAACGTCCGTTTATCTCGCCGCTTAGAGCCGAAGTGATCTTATTCACGAATACATACACCGTTCACTCAGTAATACTGCATTCACAATTACCGTTCTATTTTCATAACGTTAAACGACCAAATAGAAATCATTTTCTTGCTAATTCGTACTACGTGACTCAAACGCAATAAAATACATTTTTACGGCTTCAATCTAATATTAATACGTTTTCTCTTGATTAAGGCCCCTTGTGATATGCCTGGCATTATAAGTATACCAAGTATCATTCATTGACCAAGTAGGATAAAAAGAAAACGTTCGAAAGTGTTCATAAAAAGCAAGTACTCACCTCGTCTGTTTATAGGAACAGAAATACGGTCACACTCGTAAGCTTAGAACCGGTCATACTCAATATACGCGGATACTCTAGTTACCCGTGAACCATTTAAGTTTCCCTCCCAAATAAGTGGGTGTCGCGAAGTCTTACTTTATGCTGCCATAACTCTTTGCTGCCATTGAAATAAAGGTTAAAGATCGCATTGCGTGAAAACTTTGCGTGAGAGTCGAGAGGTCTGTAGGTATGACGTATGTGAAAAATACTCCGCTCTAATCTATTTCTAGAATGCCCCAAAATAAGATATATTTCCGATCGTAGATGCTGGTATCTAGCCCTACCAATACATATGCTGCAATCAACAAACATATCATCGAGAATATATAGCAATTAATGGTGGGATATAGTCCATGGGCTTAGCTAGAGGGAATCCTATGGGTGCGACCGCACCCACCTTGCCCACGAAAAAAAGAAAAAAGCAATTTTGTAAAATTTGTTGAAAAAACATCAACAAACTATAGTTAGAAATGCTTAGAATGCATAATATGCAATTGCAAATTTCAGAAATTTTTCCCCTGGTGAACCCCTCCCCCTTACCCCCCCCCCCCTATTTGGGGGATCACTTCGCTCGCAGTGATGCAAGCCCAAATATCGCGCCCCTTTGGCAAGTTCTGGCTACGCCCATGTAGTCGTCATGGTTATCCAGTTTACCTTGTACTTTTCACGTATGATTATAGTCGGATAACATAGGTAAAATGCACCTCTCTCCATTCCTGCAGATGACCTTAGAATCAGTTTTATAGGATGGGAATCCATTTGAAAATATATCCCAAGTGGGTAAAAACGGAGTTTCAAATGACAGCGGACCGGAGTGATTTAAAGAGATTACTTGTGTCAGAACATCTTTCATTTTCTTCCCATATCGGATGAATTAAAGGGTATTGTCTTTAAGTTCAAGTTTACAGTAATATACTCTTAAAATCTAGGTGAACACCCCATGTTATGTCACCTATAATGCTTAAACAATCCCACGCTTTTTGGTTGTTATCTGGGTAGAAACTAAGCGTGGGGAAGGCTTTCACTAAAGTCCATTAAATATAAAACATTTTCAACACTTATAATAACTTATATAGTGATTGATTAGGGTAGAGAGCAGAAGGGCAAAAATGAAAATGACACATGCTAAGTAGCCATCTTTCCATCATTGGCTCATTTTAAGTGAAACTAATTTCCTCATTTCAGAGCTGGTTAGGAAAGAGTAGTTTTGTAGAATTATGAAAACTTATATTCCCAGTGGATAAAAGTAGTTTATGTCAGAGACATATTCTCTGTTTATGTTTAAGATATTTCAGGAACGTTTCGCGAGTAAATTCACAATAATGATTTAATCATGCACATCATAGCCTCGCATATCATTACTGACTACCCATAGTTAGCCTCGTTTCCATTCCCACTCCTCAAAAGGAAAAGTAGGAAAACTTTTATTCCCAGTGGATAAAAGTAGTTTATGTCAGAGACATATTCTCTGTTCATTTGGAGAAAATCTAATGAGTGGTTTTCCTGAAATGACAATGACAAAAACGGGACGATCACGATAACGATAACGATCACGACCACTATCGCGATGACTATGACGACTATATCCCACCGATGATGTGACAAAAAAAGAGTTGAAAACCTGATTTTCCACAAATAAAATGGCCGCCATTTCGAAACAAGGCGAGCTTTTAAGAGCCACTTATTTATTGGACAATTAAACGCTTTTCATAGACAGTTTAAAATTTAAAACCATTCTTATTGTCGTGGAGGATTTCTAACTACCTACAGACTAGAAAGACAGACGAACAGACAGATAGATAGATGGACAGACGAGTGGACGATTGACCCACCTGAGTGAGTTAAGAAAAGGCGTAATGAGGAAAGAAGCAAAATCAGCGGTAGTGGATTAGAATTGATACCCTTTCATGCCTTTCCAATGCATTGCATTGTTTGGTTTTGCTTCTTTAAAGAGAGTTTCGCCAACATTCCTTGAGTTAAAGATAGACGTTTGGACTAGCTGAGAATGTGGTAGATTAAAATTTACAAAAACATGTTTGAATAAAATGCTAAATCAAACCTGGTATTGATAGCCTGGTATTGATTCTCTAACGAAATTCCTATGGATGGCCATGATAGCCATATGCGAGTCACTTAGATCGCATCAGCATTAAAAGCGGATATTTTCCCCAGCAATTCAGAGCCAAAGTGTACGAGCCTTTGTCACCCAGCTGGGTTAGAACTGAGGGTTAAAATCAGGCCCGTAGCCGAAAGGAGGTGGATTATGTAGGATTCAGAGGGTTCACGCGAATACCCCCAGCCAAAAATTCTTTCAAAATCATGCAATTTCCACCATTCTGAATACTTTTCAAGTGGTTTTGGGCATTTTTGGGCAGTTGTCAAAAGTGAATCCCCCTGAATTTTTTTAAAAAGTGAACATGGCAAATCCTGACTACGCGCCTGAAAAACCTATCGAAATCTTTCAAGGGAAATAAACTCATATTGTCAACAAGGTGGACTCTCATGTAGCCACGTAATGCGCACTGACACAAGCATCCTTAAGAGAATAGACGATATTGCCATCCTCAATTTAACGCTCGCAAGGAAAATAAATGCAACTGAGGAGACTAGACCGCACTCCATGACGTACAATGCCATTAGTCGAGACGCATTGTGGGGACGTGATATTTTCGTTTAATAAGTTAACTCAAAACGGTGTTTCTCATTGGTAAACAGGAGATCGTCTTTTTTCTGGTACAATATCAAATTATTATTATTAGAAAATGTTGTATAAAAATGATTGTCACACTGGGAGCTTTGCATATTCTTGCTATTGCGAAGGGACACAAGATGCTGATCGTTTGGAACGGATTGTTTCTTGGAGCTTTAAGCATTCTGGAGTCAGGTAATTCTATATAAATAATTCAAAGTTCAATTTCGAAATTTTGAATTTGGATGTGGATCAAAAGTCGTACCTAAAAATTTATTATCATATTATTTTATATCAAGTTTCTCTAAGATTAGTAAAAACGAACATTTTGATAAATAACAATTCATAAAAGTAATAAAAAACAAACATTGAACACAAAGTGATAACGATCTATACTCCCCTCCATAAGTTTGGCAACCTTTGCTCCCCGATTAAACTACGTTTTAAAGCCTCTTTACCTTTAACCTGCGATGAAAATATTTTAATTGAGGAAAAAAAATTGGAGAAATATTTTTTCATCAATAGTATTAGTATTTTCACCGCAGGTTAAGTAAATAAAAATTCAAAGGTAAAGAGGCTTTAACACGTAGTTTAATGGGGGAGCAAAGGTTGCCAAACTTATGGAGGGGAGTGTACCGGTGTAAAAGGGTTAGAGGCCCTATCAAATTATGGTCCTACTATTCATTAATTTATATGGTGACCTCTTTCCCTTATTGTCATATACACAATCAGGGCCAGTAAGGGCCGTTGAGAAATGGGACCATAATCCCCGGGAGACCATCATTTCTTTCACACCGGTTTTAAACTGGTACTTGTTGATTGGACAATGCTAAAAACACTTAAAGTGTCTGTTCGATGCTCATGGGGTCAAAATACAGTTTATACACGTTCTAAATGAAGTAAATACCACTATCATATCAAACCAGGTACCGTTCTTGTAAATATTTTTTATATAATGTGAAATTTGATGTTCAAAATCGAGAACACAATGTCAAATGCCAATCATGACATCACGAACAGAACGTGTTTTGGATATGTTGTTGGAGTTCATAATCTCCGAACGTGCTTATAAAGTGTTAGTGTAATTGATTGCAACTGCATTCAGTGAAGTGAGGAATTGATTCAGAGATGACTACTTTGGAGCCACGTTTTTCCTCCGATAAACAAAAATATAATACCTAAATTAGAGCTTCCGACCCAGCGGTGCGTTTTCACATAGCTAGTCATGCAGAATTACTTTCTGGCCAATCAGAACACAATATAGAAAATAAACACGCTCAGTGGATGGTATTACATAACTCAAGCTGTCTAAAATCGTGTAACCAAAAGGCATTGAACCATGAGGTGATTTCGGTAAGTGTTACTCCTTTCTGGCCAATCAGAACACAATATACATGTAACATAAATAATTTGAACTTGGCACTTTAGTTGCATAACGCATTGCCGTTAAAAATACATAACCGGTTCTGTTCGTGACGTCATGTTTTTTTCCCGGGAAATCTTATTCTGCCACTAATGAACAAACGGAATGAGTTGAGAGTCTGTTGGAATACTATTTTTACTTACCAATATCTGTTTAATCTATTGTAGTGAGAAAAAATAAACAGAAATTACCGAATTAGCACTTTAATGATTTTATTGATGCAAAAGCGATTGAGAAAATTACTATGATTCAAAGCAACACTAAATAGGTACCCCGAACGTAGATTCTAGTTCTAAACTGTAAACTCAACTCTTGTTTCCCTTACTAAGTTTATTATCTGAAAATTTAGAAATCTAAACACATATGGAAAGTTGAATTTTTATACGCAGAAATGCTTGGGGTTTTCGGTTTCGGAAAAATATAACTCTTATTATCATGAAATATAAAGTAAGAACTGTTGTATCGTACCGCTGTAAGCGAAAAATGTAAAAATGTTACAGTTTTGGGGATGTCACTTTTAATTTTAGCCTTCATTGCCATAAACACAACAAACTAAACACTTGCATAATTTATGTAACCAATATACCCGTTTTTGAATTTAATTAAATAGGCGAGTCGAGGAAACACTAACAAAGGGGAGAGTGTACCTCTAAGGCCTACAATGGACATATTTTAGTTTAGTTTACAAAAACGTAAAAATTGCTATTACAGTAAGTTACACTCGATAACCTTACAGTATATTTCGTTATTTGATATAACATACCCACGTTTGAGATCAATAGAACCCGATAACATTTTTAAAGACCAAGCCACCATGCAATGTTTCAAATAACTCAACGAATGTGTTTTTTACATCGGAAATCATTTTCATGGGATAAAATAAATATGTAGTCTATTTACTAACTCTTAATTTTTGATCCTTCAAACAAAAGTTTAAAGGAAAGGGCGATAGCGATAACTTGTTACCCGCTTATTTTTAAGAAACGAATTCCGCTTACATTTTATTAAAGTCCCAGTGAGTAGCTATAATCGTTAGTGTAAAGGCAGAATTAAAGGTATCACTTCGAGGTTGAAAAATTGCGATCAACTTGTAAAGTTCTGTACAATCAAACTACTTGTGTGCTCTGTACCATCTCAAACATAATATATCTCCCAAACGATGTCCCGGTGAACAATATATTGTTATCAAAAAATTGCATCTATTGCTAGATGAAAACAACATGGAATTGTCTACATTGTGCATTGATCTCAAGATTACCTAGCTTAAACGCGTATTAGCCAGAAATCATACTTCAATATGCTTATTCAATTATCGATTAATTTCTAAACTTTCTTATCGAAAAAGCCAATCCTGAAGATTTGTTGATTTTTCTTTTTAAAATTGTACTATACGCATTTTGCACGAAATACAGGCGTCTCCTGAATACCTGATTGGCTGGGTTAATAGATATAAGACCAAAAAGTAAGGTCAGATATAAAGTACTCAAGCAGGGTATTGTAGCATGATTGTGTGAAGGCTTGCTACCCTTGGCTCGTTATGATCGGACTACCTCGAGGCTGAGAGATGGATATCGTTACTCACCCGGTTACGATGTGTTTACGTCACGGGACGCAAGAGACCTTACACATTTCACTAGACGAGAGCAGGAAATACTCTCTACTATTAATGTATATGGAAAATATTGGCTTTTTGAGAAATATCTAATACAACAGCTTGCCAACGATTATTGATTGCTCTTACAATGACAAACTGTTAACATAAAAAAGTCATTATAAAAAGTGAATAGGAAGTACTATACATTAGAATACTGGTGGATTAGCCCATCCCCGCCCCCTAAGATTGCCCCAGAAAATAAATTGGGCCCAAAGATCTTTTTCAGACTTGAAAGACCCCCCCCCCCCCTAGTTAGAATCCAGATCTGCGCCTGCAATCCTGCACTAATATTCTTCATTGTTTCTACAGCAGTCCCCGAGTTCTTAGAACTAGCAATAGATATTTCTAAAAGTTATTTCAACTTAGATTTTTACCCCATATCATTGTTTGTTATGCCTCCCACAAAATTGATTCTTCTATACTAGAAGGACATCTTTAGATTAGTCTTGCATCGCCTCCGACCCCCCCCCCCTCCCCCCCTTCGTGCTTAACGTGTGTGGCAGGTTTCTTGTATTCGATCCAGGAGGAGGGGGGGGGGTACATAGGAGCTTGATGAAAGACTTCTTAAAGAGATCGAGTCGTCCAGATTTTTATTCTGGACAATCAGTAATGTCCAAATATAATTGCTCATAAAACATCATATATACCTAATATATATCTTGAGACCAAAACATAAGCACGATATCGACAATATATTGAGGATATCAACAGGACAACCAAAAGAACAACCAACTGTCAGAATTGAACGCAATAAGTCGAAAACAGAATATGTTTTTTGGGCGATTTATCTATATTGTAACCCCTTAGAAGTAATAAATATGGCTTCTCTAAGCCAAAATAATCTGAAGGAAAAAGCCAATCAGACTGGAACAAAGAGCGGGCTTTTTAAATTTAAATTTCTATTGATGTAAGTGGAAATTCATGGCTAGGAACAATCATCGAATTGATACTGTTAACGAATTAATTCAAGTATCTTTAACTTTTAATTTTATCTTCATTTTTAGGCGTGGCTGGGATTATACCTGACGATGTTGGAGTTAGGGAACATATTAGACCGGCACAAATCACGCATCTACATAACATTTTTAGACGGGACGTAGGATCATTGCTCAATCTGGGGACAGAAGTGGCCAATATGAGAAAAATGGTGAGCTAAACTTTTTGTAATTATATCTGACGATTCAAATACTAGTAAATATAAGCAGAGCAATATATATATTTCGACAGAAGTCCCTGACATAAGTAAAATAGGTATACTATATGTAAAAATAGAATAGATCATGACGTACATTAAGTCAATGAATGCTGATGCTCTGTATACTCACAAGTTAGGTATCAGTGAACTTTATAAGCAAGACAACAAACACCTGTATTGAAAAAATCCAAACTCACCGGCAAATCCAGAAGCTAACAAGGGGGGGGGGGGCACATTTCAAACCATAAAACATATGGGCCCATAAATCCCCAAATTTCTATAAAGCGTTTGGGCCCAAAATGCCCCCCCCCTGGATCCGCCAGTGGGACTATGATTTGAAAAGTACGTTTATGGTACGACTCTTGTTATGTTTAATCTAGGGCTGGAGCCGGGGGTTGCAAGAAATGGCAAACATTTGGACGTCCGACTGTGATAATATGGATAGACATTATGTATATGTATCTAACAACGAAGACTTACATAAACCAAAATATGGTAAGAGTATTATTATATAGAATTCAGATATTGTAAGATAGTGGTTGTAACTGTACAATATACTTTTTTATTTGTTGTTTATTTCAATATAACAATCGCTAACAGTTGTCATCCTCTTCTAAAGTGGTTTTCTTTCAAGCAAGATACTGTCCATCCTCTAAGTGAGTTGTCATCTTCTAAGTGAGTGGTCATATTCCTAATAATTGCTTATCGTTCAAGATACTGTCCATTTTCTAAGTGAGTTGTCATCTTCTAAGTGGGTGGTCGTATTCCCAATGATTAGTTTTCGTTTTAGAGAATCGTTATCTTCTAAGTGAGTGGTCACCTTTAAAGAGAGTTGTCACCGTCTTAGTGTAGTTGTCATATTTTAATAATGAGTGGTCACCTTCTAAGTGATTCGTCATCGTCTTAGTCAGTGAATGTCGTAGAATAGTGAGTGGTTATCTCCTCAGTGAGTGGTCACATGCCTATTGAGTGGTTGTTGTCTTAGAGAATGGTCGTCGACTTAGTCAGTGGCTGTTGACCGCTAAGTGAGTGGTCACCTTCTAAGTGAGTAGTCATCGTCTTAGTCAGTAGTCATCTTCTTAGTCAGTGGTTGTCGCCCTCTAAGTGAGTGGCCACCTTCCAAGTGAGTGGTCATCGTCTTATTCAGTGGTCATCTTTTTAGTGAGTTGTCATCTTCTAAGTGAGTGGTCATATGCCTATTGAATGATTGTCGTCTTAGAGGATGGTCATCGTCTTAGTCAGTAGTCATCTTCTTAGTCAGTGGTTGTCGCCCTCTAAGTGAGTGGTCACCTTCTAAGTGAGTGGTCATCGTCTTATTCAGTGGTCATCTTCTTAGTGAGTTGTCATCTTCTAAGTGAGTGGCCATATGCCTATTGAATGATTGTCGTCTTAGGGATGGTCATCGTCTTAGTCAGTAGTCATCTTCTTAGTCAGTTGTCATCTTCTAAGTGAGTGGTCATATGCCTATTGAATGATTGCCTATTGAATGATGGTCATCATCTCAGTCAGTTGTCATCGATTCGTCTAAGTGAGAGAACATCTTCTTAGTGATTTTTTTTATTGTGCGTTTCATCCCCTTAGTGGCCTGGTTTTAAGTGAATAATCATCTTCTTGTCGAGTGATCATTTCCATAAAAACTGGGCATAACTCTTTTTAGCATATGGTCATCCTCTGAGTGAATGATCATCTTCTTCTTAGTGAGTGGTCATCCACTTTAAGTGGGTCATCGCGGTCAACGTCATATTTTTGACTGGTCATCTATTTATTGAGTGAACATCTTCTTTGTGAGGGCCACCACCTTAGTTTGGTCAGGTCATCTTCTTAACTATAGTTTCATTTCTTATAGTAGAGCCTCTGTCATATTTTGTGTATGGCGGCCGTAGCTTCGCAAAATCGATATAAAATCGAGTGTTCACCTTCAGAGAACCAATCACCTTTGTAAATCGTCATCTTCTTAGTGCGTGGTTATCTGCTAAGAGAGTGGTCATATTATTAAAGTAATTACCTTATATGTGGGTGATCATCTTAGTGAGTGGCCATCTCCTTATTATGTTTTGACCTCTTCAATGTCAATGTGGGATGTATGTATCTTTTATTTCCGATTCCAAATAGGATTTCATATAAACTAATTACATTGTTAGATTAATAGAATAAACATAAAACCAAACAAGGTCACAACATATTTACAATCTTCAAAAGTAGTATAAAAATTTCAGATTACAAGATCCTCTGCACGTTTAAAGATGTCTTTTAAGATCAGAAAGTTATCACTTTACACTCAGAGAGAGATCACGTTCCGCCATCGAGCTCTTTTATGTACTTTGCATATTGTATGCACCATTTTATACATATTACATAATAAGTGTTATATTTGAATGCTCTAAGCAGTAAAACTATAATGGTTGTTTTTTTCGTTTAGGTGTTTCTCAAGATGTATCTATTAATAAAGATGACGCTAGTATTCTTCGTGGTTGGTTCCAACAGTCTCGATTTTTCAATAGGAATCTAACGAAGTACGGGGAATGCTACCTGGACAGTCCTTGTCCCGCTTTTAAGCAGGTACAGTATGGACTGATTACATTTTCATTTTAAGAAAGATTTTTTTAAATAGCAAAATTGATTTCAAAGTACATCTCTATATATACGAGGGGTGATCCAAAAGTAATGGACAAAATTTTATAAGCATGCTTACTCTCGCCCAATTTGCATGAAATTTGGTAGATATGAAGATCAACTATTTTTCCATAATATGTAAAAACTGAATGACATCAACATAAACACATTTCAAGATATGGCACATCTCCCGCAATAGGGTGCTTAAACCCGGAATTGGCTTTCTAAGCATATTGACATCTTACTAACATGAATTTTCATGAAAAGTTAGCTGGTGAACATTTTGCACTTTTTGAAGATGGTAGCACAATAAGTTCAGCCATAATTTCACATAATTCGTGATCATCCATTTACATTCTATTTGATATCTTAATCATCTGTAATGGCACTTATTCCCCTCAGTGTCAATCACCTGACTACATTTACGATCGCATCTATGAGATGAATATTGTCATCTTTGTGATCAGGGTGACCAGTCTGTGGTCTTCCAGATCGCTAAAAGATTCAGTACCCTCTCATCATATCCACCAACGTGCTTGTACAATCTCTAAAGGATTGTCTTAAAACGTGTATCTTTAATTTTCCTGACAACAACCTGCCCTGTGTCTCCAGTTGCTACCAATTATACTATGATAACAATTCTTTGTTTTACCGGTTCTACGATACATTTCTTGGATGTGTGTGAATCTTAGGCTGACTCACTATTTTAAAAAAGAATTTTACACTTAGTAGATAATTGAATGAGCTAAGGTCTGTGAAAATATTATACTGATTGAGTTACGTTAAGTATGCCTATACAATGTTGTCCATTACTTTTGAATCATCCCTCGTATGTGATATGGCAGTCAAACCAGATATTAAAAGAGAAAAAATCAATGGAAATCAATGATCTATTTTCAAGACACGCATTTTTGTTATGATGTTTAAAAAGCGTAGAAGAAAACGATAGGCCTGAATGGCTGCCTTGCCCTTGTCTAATATTACATTGACCCAGTCGAATAACAAAGGCAAACACCGTGGGTGATAATGATTCATTTAATCTCCATTTTCTTAAACCACAACCTTATTATTTAATGGAGCCTAGACAATAACTTATTTTTAGTTTTATCTGACGTTTTATACGAAACCTCAACAGTTTAATTATTTGCAATTGGTCGTTGACTCTAAAACTAAAGTTGCAATTCCTTAATAAATTATTTAATCTGAGTAGGTGGTATTTTTAATAAATGATAAAACATTGAAGATTTACTTGCGTCTGTAAACGTTAAAAATCTCGTTCTAATTTCATCCGTTTCAGATGGTGTACTGGGAAAGCAACAGCGTTGGTTGTGCACGTAATGTTTGTCGAAGAGATGGAACCATGGTCAACTTCTTTGCCTGCTTTTACACCCATGGGTATGAAAAACTTTAACAATTTTCTATAGCGTACACCCTTCTAAAAGTTTGGTAACCGAAAATCCACTTTCTAATCACAGCTAAAAGTATTAAATACCTTGGTTGATTTCACAAATTTTCAAGCATTTGTAACCTATTGTGATTGAGGAAATAATTAATTTTCAAACATACACAAGCTTTAATACTATCCAATGGAGATTTCAGGTTGCCAAACATATGAAGGGGGTGTACGTGCATGTTTGGCTGGTCAAACCTGTTAAAAATAGTTCAGATCAAATACTCATTCGTGAGCAATAAGCATTCCGATACTCATAGCATATTTCTGTTTCACCTGAAACATGTCTGATACTCATAGCATATATCTGTTTCACCCGAAACATGTCTGATACTCATAGGATCTTTCTGTTTTACCTGAAACATGTCTGATACTCATAGGATCTTTCTGTTTCACCTGAAACATGTCTGATACTCTTGGCATCTTTCTGTTTCACCTGAAACATGCCTGATACTCTTAGCATCTTTCTGTTTCACCTGAAACATGTCTGATACTCTTAGCATCTTTCTGTTTCACCTGAAACATGTCTGATACTCATAGCATCTTTCTGTTTCACCTGAAACATGTCTGATACTCATAGCATCTTTCTGTTTCACCTGAAACATGTCTGATACTCATAGCATCTTTCTGTGTCGCCTGAAACATGTCTGATACTCATAGCATCTTTCTGTGTCGCCTGAAACATGTCAGGGCTGAGAACATTTGAGATGTCATAATTTATCATGATGAGCAATAGGCAGTAAACGCTAAGAATGATGATTTGATATAGGTCCTTCTTTCACTTATCCCCATCTCGTTACCAGAATGTTTCATTTACAATATTTTAAAAGCCGATTTACAATTTGATATTTGGCTCAAAGATGACTGTCCAGGTAAAAAAATTGCAACCTAATTTACCCGTCCACATCAAATTACTTTCATAGGTAATAGAGGTTGAAAGAGTTGGTAATCATGGTATAAATGGGCAGTCCGCAGCTGCCATCTTTCTGACAATGTAATCATAATGCTTATCTAAGTTCCTTGGTATTGTTACAAGAACGGAAGTGGATAATTCCGGAGACAGGTTACACATACCACTTGCGTTTTTGTAACAATAGCGAGGAATAGTCATATTTTGAATTATTTCCCTGTGGGATGACAAGTCGAGAAGCCCAAAACAACTTTAAAAATTGCATCCGAACGTCAACATGCATCTTTTGGCCGCAAATATATTAGAATGCAACTTGATGGGAGCTGTGATTTGGAATTTTTTAATGTTTATAATTACCAGGGTGCCGATACAACCCATTGAGCTGTTCAAAGAAGGAAGGACTTGCTCAAGTTGTGATGACGTCACTCCATTTTGCAGTACACAGCTATGCGGTAAGTTTGAGAATGAAATGTTAATTTGGCATAGTGACCAAAAATGCTTTTTGCCTAGGACCTCCATGATTAATGCCGGATTGTTTCATATGAATCGATTAAGTAACAAACGCATTTAGGCATGACAAGGGGAACAGTCTTAGTTTATCTATTTTCATTTACCTTGTACGTACTGTCCCTATTACTTATTATTCTGCTATAAAACGTAAGTTCCATAAATCAAATGTAGACAAAATCTAGCCGTACCAAAATCCCTCTCGACGTGAAGCAACATAAATAATTATAAAATATAAATAAAATCGTACATTTATAAATAATTTTTCATTCATTCCAGTGGCTGCTGAAGAGCCGAATGTAAAAAGTAAGTCGACTTTTATTTAATATAGGGCGAGTAATACTTCCTCTTACAATCAGCTTGTTTAATTCTCCTTGCAATTGGCTGGTGCTAGAGTTCCCCTTGACCTAATACATGAGTTTATCGTAAAATGGTAAAAACTACAAATCCATTCGAAAAAACGATATGGTCGACAAAAGTGACGCGATTCAATTATGTCCGTATTGGCCACCCCGTGGTATTACAGCAGTGCCTAGAGCAGCTACCCTTTTTCAATTCTAAAATTTCTTCCAAAAGCGATTAATACAGGGAATACAGTGCCCAGTGCTACCTATCTATAGCATCGCATGATTGGCCGCTCACCTCTCATGCTATTTAGAAAAACGATTATCAGACATTGATATCGGGCACTTTAGATTTATTTCACGATCTTCTCTTAAAGTATCAGTACATTTGTTGGTAAAGGCTGTTGTTTCCGGGTAATTAGGTAAACTCGTAGTTAATATATCTCGTATTATTATAATCTTATATTGTTTTGTGTCTTTCATAAATCAATGGTTAACACACTCGCATTTGTGAAAAAGAATATCCACATTTAAGCCATCTTTAACTCAGGTCTGAAGTTGTTGTAAAACTTTAATGTCCGGGTTCGAACATTGCATGAATGCATTTTCATTGAGCATAAATACATTGATGAAAGAAATTGATCTTTGATAATTAAGTGCAAATCATTTTCCCTCGATTCTTGCTTTTTATTTAAAAGTCGATGTGAAAGCAGTTGATCCATCCTAGCATTTTTATGTTCACATTTGAAACTACTTACGACTTGTTTTTGTAATTTGATAAATATATTTTGTAGACGAAGATGGTAGAATTCGTTGAAATTTAATTCTTATTGGTGATATTAATAAAACGGAACTTATGACGCCTTATTTTATTCTCTAGCTTGTGAGAAAACGTGCAACTCCTCAGTTGGACGGGGGATCCTGAATCCAACAACATGTGCGTGTACGTGCAGATCGGGAATGGGATCAAACTGCGACAGTAAGTAGTCTAGACTGTGTACGTTTTGAAGTTCATATACTATGTGATATCAAAAGGCATACATTTATAAATAAATCGGATACTGTCGAATATATATCCAAAATGGAATATTAATTAATCAATTTAATTAATATTTATTTTATTAATTCTTCTTTAACAATACAGATTAACAATACAGAATTTAGTGCAATTAGTGCATGTTATTTAGCACAGTGCAGTATATGTGGAGAGAAGACCTTGACAATTTTACACTCTTGACAACAAGTCGTTCACCTTTCGTAAAATCTGGGACAATGTGCTCTACTTCTTTGAAAACAAATTATTAGTTCTGTTTAAGTGGCAATTTTCCAAGCTATAGCGACAAGTATCCCATATTTACTAACTTTATAATTTGTACAACATAACATGAATATTTTGCAAGTCAAACCTCAAATATAAAATGCGTAACTGACATAGTTTGTTGTTGTTTTTTTCCAAATATTTGTTAAGCCGAATTCCTAGAGAAATCATCAATTTTTCATTAATTTTTGAGCTATGTTAAGCGAGGAAAAAGTCAAACATAATTATAAATAATATATTCCACTAGTCTAGCAATTAATTTCGCCAAACAGGGTAGCTATCTATCAAAACTATAATCAAGGTGAAAAGTTGATTTTGAAGTACGTTGGATGTTTTGAATTCATTCCAGCAGTTTCCTATAAGTGGATGAACTCTGCAAACTCACGATAGAGTAGGCGTAATAGAGGAGATTTATTTCTTCATGCTCATGTTAGTATAGTAGGAACAAGGGGTTCCCATGCACCCATAAGGTGTGAATAAGTTTCATACATTTTTGTAATCCCTAGGGTGTCTATTTAATGAATCCATTTGTTAACATTGCCAACTAATGTCCCATAGTACTTTTATGGCGGCATTCAGTTACCATGGTTACGCATCTTTAGACATCATACCTTGGTGTCTTAAATCATTTGTAGCTCTGTCATTATTTGGTCCATAGAAATGATATTGGTACCAAATTAAACCTCGTTAAATTTCCAATAAATTTATGATATTCAATTATGCAAATTATCTAATTTGCATAAATTATGACGTCATCAATCTATTTTTGGTTCAGAATTTCCAACTATAGCAACGTATCTATTAGAACTGAGGCCGTATGGCAAAATTTCTGAAAGGTTTTGTCCTTTATTCTATTAGTAGAAGGTATAAGCAACATAAAAAAGAAAACAGATTCAAAATTGAATCAGTATTACGAAAGTTATGTAACTTTCGAGGCAGCTATCGTGAATGTCATTATTTGACAATAATATACATTACGTCTTACCTTGGAGTCTTGAATCAATGTCGCTTCGCCATTATTTGGTCTATAGAGATGATATTGGTATCTGATTAAACCTTATTAAATTTACTATATGGTTACAATATTCAGTTATGCAAATTAGCTAATTTGCATTAATTGTGACGTCATCAATCCATTTTTGGTTCAGAATATCCTAGTATAGCAACATATCTATTAGAACTGAGGCCGTATGACAGAATGTGTGCATAGTTTTGTCCCTTATTTGATGAGTGGAAGATATAAGCAACATTAAAGAGACAACAAAATCTTCAAAATTGGATCAGAATTAACAAAATTATCCAGCTTTGGAGGCAGCTACTGTGAACGTCATTGTTTGACAATTATAAAAAGAATATTAAATTAACACAAAAAGTAACAACCATTATATTATAGTTGTTTCAATCTTATTGAGTAAAAATGTGCATGTATTGAACTGAACTAATAAGTATGTGGAAAGGTTACATGCATTTTGACTATCATTCACAGGGGTCAAAACGGTTATCTCGACCCTGTATATCAAAGATCCAATCTTATAATTTACCATGCACTTTCAATGATTCATATAAATAGGATACATATAGTCTGCTTTTCATCATATTCTTCATATTCTTGATTCTTAAAGCATCTGAAGTATATAGCATGATTAGAAGTGAAGATGATTCATCATATGGTTTATGTAATATTTCTAACATTTCAGATGCTATGGTAACATCACTTGATAATGAGGTTTTTACATTTCACGTTCTTAATGAGTAAAAAGGAAGTTATTCTCCCTTTGCTTTAGAGATAAATAGTTGCATGAATTTGTTTAGAAAAATTATAACTTAATTAATTTAACCCCCCCCCCTGACAGCCCCATATTTGAAGATTTTGGTGAAACCTGGCAAAATACATTAATTATTAGGTTCCAGAAGCTCCCAGAAGCTATATGATGGCCCCCAGTGGCCCCAAGAATCTATACAGGGGCCCCAAGTGGCCCCCAGGAGCTATACTGTGCTCCACAGAAGCTATATGTTGGCCCCCAGAAGCTGAATAGTGGCCCCCAGGAGCTGTACGGTGGCGCCCAGAAGCTATACAGGGGCCCCCAGTGGCCCCAAAAAGCTATACGGTGGCCCCCAGAAGCTTTACAGGGGCCCCCAGAAGCTATACGATGGCCCCCAGAAGCTATACAAGGGCCCCCAGAAACTATACTATGGTCTCCAGAAGCTCTAGGTGGCCCCCAGTGGCCCTCGGAAGCTATATGATGGCCTCCAGAAGCTAATTAGTGGCCCCCAGGAGCTTTATGGTGGCTCCCAGAAGCTATACAGGAAACCCTGTGGCCCCAAGGAGCTATACGGTGGCGCCCAGAAGCTATACAGGGGCCCCCAGTGGCCCCAAAAAGCTATACGGTGGCCCCCAGAAGCTTTACAGGGGCCCCCAGAAGCTATACGATGGCCCCCAGAAGCTATACAAGGGCCCCCAGAAACTATACTATGGTCTCCAGAAGCTCTAGGTAGCCCCCAGTGGCCCTCGGAAGCTATCTGATGGCCTCCAGAAGCTAATTAGTGGCCCCCAGGAGCTATATGGTGGCTCCCAGAAACTATACAGGGGACCCAAGTGGCCCCAAGAAGCTAATCGAAGGCCCCCAGAAGCTATACAGGAGCCCCAAAAAGCTACATGATGGCCCCCAGAATCTATATGATGGCCCCCAATGGCTCCCAGAAGATGTGAAGGGCCCCCAGTAGCCCCTAGAAGCTATACGGTGGCCCCCAGTGGCCCTCATAGGCTATATGATGGCCCTAAGAAGCTAAATAGTGACCCTCAGGAGCTATATGGTGGTTCCCAGAAGCTACGCAATGGCTCCCAGAAGCTATAAAGGGCCCCCCAGTAGCCCCTAGAAGCTATAAGGTGACCCCCAGTGGCCCCGAAAGCTATATGGTGGCCCCCAGAAGCTATAAAGGGGTCCACAGTGGCTCCCAGAAGCTATACGATGGCCCCCAGAAGCTATGCAAGGGCCTGCAGAAACTGTACTGTAGCCCCCAGAAGCTATACAGGGGCCCCAAGTGGCTCCTAGAAGCTATACGATGGCCCCCAGAAGCTATGCAAGGGCCTACAGAAACTATACTGTAGCCCCCAGAAGCTATACAGGGGCCCCCAGTGGCTCCCAGAAGCTATACGATGGCCCCCAGAAGCTATGCAAGGGCCCACAGAAACTGTACGGTAGCCCCCATAAGCTATACGATGGCCTCCAGAAGCTATACAGTGTCCCCCAATGGGCCACCATATAGCTTTGGGGGCCACCGTATAGCTTCTAGGGGCTACTGGGGGCCCTGTATAGCTTCTGGGAGCCATTGGGGGCCATCATATAGATTCTGGGGGCCATCTTGTAGCTTCTGGGGGCTGCTGTATAGCTTCTGGGGGCCATTGTATAGCTTCTTGGGGCCACTGGGGTTCCCTGTATAGCTTCTGGGTGCCACCGTATAGCTCCTGGGGGCCACTATTTAGCTTCTTGGGGCCATCATATAGCTTCTGAGGGCCACTGGGGGTCACCATATAGCTTCTGGAGACCACAGTATAGTTTCCGTGGGCCCTTGTATAGCTTCTGGGGGCCATCATATACCTTCTGAGGGCCACTTGGGGCCCCTGTATAGATTCTTGGGGCCAATGGGGACCATCATATAGCTTCTGGGGGCTTCTGGAACCTAATTATTAATGTATTTTGCCAGGTTTCACCAAAATCTTAAAATATGGGGGCTGTCAGGAGGAGGTTAAATTAAGTTATAATTTTTTTAAACAAATTCATGCAACTATTTATCTCTAAAGCAAAGGGAGAATAACTTTCTTTTAACTCATTAAGAACGTGAAATGTAAAAACCTCATTATCAAGTGATGTTACCATAGCATCTGAAATGTTAGAAATATTACATAAACCATATGATGAATCATCTTCACTTCTAATCATGCTATATACTTCAGATGCTTTAAGAATCAAGAATATGAAGAATATGATGAAAAGCAGACTATATGTATACTTTTTATATGAATCATTGAAAGTGCATGGTAAATTATAAGATTGGATCTTTAATATACAGGGTCGAGATAACCGTTTTGACCCCTGTGAATGATAGTCAAAATGCATGTAACCTTTCCACATACTTATTAGTTCAGTTCAATACATGCACATTTTTACTCAATAAGATTGAAACAACTATAATATAATGGTTGTTACTTTTTTTGTTAATTTAATATTCTTTTTATAATTGTCAAACAATGACGTTCACAGTAGCTGCCTCCAAAGCTGGATAATTTTGTTAATTCTGATCCAATTTTGAAGATTTGTTGTCTCTTTAATGTTGCTTATATCTTCCACTCATCAAATCAGGGACAAAACTATGCACACATTCTGTCATACGGCCTCAGTTCTAATAGATATGTTGCTATACTAGGATATTCTGAACCAAAAATGGATTGATGACGTCAAAATTAATGCAAATTAGCTAATTTGCATAACTGAATATTGTAACCATATAGTAAATTTAATAAGGTTTAATCAGATACCAATATCATCTCTATAGACCAAATAATGGCGAAGCTACATTGATTCAAGACTCCAAGATAAGACGTATGTATATTATTGTCAAATAATGACATTCACGATAGTTACTTCGAAAGTTACATAACT